CATCCCCAGGAATGGCCCGTCATGCACCAGAAAATGAAACATGAGCAATCCACAGGTGACCCAATTTACCACCTATGTTCCATATAGCCCGGTGGTGTTAGTTGACTTGGGGAGACAGTTTCGGCAGAAACAGGGGGAGCCCCTGGCTGCTTGGCTATTGCAGTTATGGGACCTAGGGGTGGATAGTTTGATGTGCTCTGGTGAGGAGATGGAAAAATTGGCCTCCATCACCATGAACCCGTTCTGAGGCAGAGGCTGCAGAATAGCCACAGGTATGCACAAGGGCCAGGTAATCACTCCTTAATGGAATGGGTGACTGCGGCTGCCTGAACCATGTCGGCAAACGCTGGAGAACTGCCCAAGATTGTTAGTGAATGGCAAACGTATGCTGAGTTCAAATAACTCGAGAGCTGGGGATGCGGCAGTCCAGGTTTAATGTGAACACTCATAGCCTGGATGATAACTTTACAGGCAGCATGAGAGACACAGTGCTGCAGAATGCCCCGTCAACATCCTTTGGGTCGCTGATGGCCATACTGGCCCCTCACGTTGGCCGTCCTATGCATGCGGTAACAACCATGATAGACAGCTTGGGTGACGTAGAGGATAGGAGACAAGCAAAAGGGGTCCGAAAGGTGGCTAAGACCAAACCCTCAAGAAATACTTGGGATTTTATCCTGAGGGGACCAAGCAAGACTAGCCAGAAGCAGATGTGGCTTGACTTGCTCGCAGTAGGGGTTGATAAAAAGAAAATTGACCGGCAGCCAAATGCAGTTCTGTTTGCCTTGTGGCAGCAATTGCACCCTGAACAGCATTTCTTCACTAAATGTCCAACAGGTAGCAAGGTATGTTCAGTGGATTTAAAGGACTTTTTGGTTGCTCCCGAGGAGGCGGATGAACTGTTTAATTTCAATTAGGGAGCAGGCCAAGGTGCTCATCTTTTGGGGGCAGGCAAGGACCAGAGGCCTCATGTTGAATTGGCAATGCACTGGTCAAGGACTAATGTGCAGCGTGTTTTGGCATTGGTAGATAACGGCACAGAACGTAGCCTGATATATGGCAATCCAGATAAGTTTCCAGGGGCCACAGCTCATACAGATGGCTATGGAGGACACATTACTGAGGTCAAAGCTGTGTCATTGCCATTGGGCATAGGAAGATTACCTCCTCATGTATATACTGTATATATATCTCCTGTAGCTGAACACATCTTGGGTATGGAGGTACTTTATAGTTTGCACCTGCAAACAACAGTTGGAGAGTTTTGGCTTTGAATAAGGACAGTAAAGCCTGTGTTACAGAGATATGCTAAACATGACCCACAAGTGTTACCGAAGCCAAGATGTGCAGTTAATGTAAAGCAGTATCGCCCACCAGGAGGACATGCAGAGATAAGTGCCACTATATTGGAATTAGAGAAAGTTGGCATTATTCGTCCAGTTCATAGCCCATTTAATGCTCTGGTATGGCCAGTGGAAAAGCCTGATGGTACCTGGAGAATGACTGTTGAGAAAGCTATTGAGAACTAAACAAAGTAGTGCCTCCTTTGCATGCAGCCATGCCTTCAGTTCACAACTTGATGGATCAGCTGATTCCTCACCTGGGGACTTATCATTATGTATTGGACCTTGCAAATGCTTTCTTCTCTATTCCAATCTCGGCCGATAGCCAAGATCAGTTTGCCTTCACCTGGGAAGGGAGACAGTGGACCTTTCAAGTATTGCCCCAAGGTTATCTGCATAGCCCAACCATTTGTCATGGTTTAGTGGCTGGGGACCTAGCCAAGTGGACAAAGCCCAGCACGGTTATGTTGTTTCACTACATTGATGATGTGTTGTTAACCTCTGATTCTCTTACAAACTTAACCCAGGCAGCTCCAACACTGCTAAGTCATTTGGAACAATGTGGGTGGGCCATGAACAGAGCCAAAGTACGAGGTCCTGGGCTGTCAGTCAAATTCTTAGGAGTGGTCTGGTCGGGTAAGACGAGGGTCATCCCAGAAGCTATTGTAGACAAGATACAGGCATACCCTCGACCCACAACTGTAGCTCAACTACAGACATATCTGGAACTTCTGGGGTATTGGAGAGCTTTTGTACCCTGTATAGCCCAAATGACACACCCACTGTATGCATTAACAAAGAAAGGAGACCCCTAGAATTGGACTGAGGAAGTAGAACAGGCTTACTGGGCTACAAAAAGGGCAATACAGCAAGTACAGGCTTTATAAGTGGCTGACCCCACT